GCCGGGAGAAACTCCCAGCCTCACAGGAGAGTTCATGGGAGAGACCCACAGGGTCCTAGAATGTGCAAAGCCTACCCACATGGGAATCAGCACCAGAAGGGCCCAATTTGCTTTTGGGAAGGAGGGGAAGTGACTGAAATCTGGCAAAGAGTGGAGCAAGCACCATTGTTCCCTCTTGTACCCTTTCCCCGCATACAGTGTCACAACCCAGAGATTGGGTTGCCCCGGCCTGGTGAATACCTAAGTCTCTGCCCCTGACTACATAACAGGCATGTCAAGACAAAAAAATGGCCCAAATGAAAGAACAGATCAAAGCTCCAGAAAAAATACAACTAAGCAATGAAGAGATAGCCAACCTATCAGATGCACAGTTCAAAACACTGGTGATCAGGATGCTCACAGAATTAGCTGACTTTGGTAGCGAGTTAGATGAAAAAATGAAGGCTATGCTAAATGAAATAAAGGAAAATGTACAGGGAATCAATAGTGAAGGGAAGGAAACAGACTCACATCAACGGTGCAGACCAGAAGGAAGGAAGAAACATCCATCAGAAAAGAATGAAGAAAGAAGAATTAAAAAAAAAAATGAGGAGAGGCTTAGGAATCTCCAGGACATCTTGAAATGTCCCAGCATCCGAATTAGAGGGATACCAGAAGGAGAAGAGGAAGAGCAACAAGTGGAAAAGTTCTTTGAACAAATAGTGAAGGAGAACTTCCCCAATCTGGCAAAGGAAGTAGACTTCCAGGAAGTCCAGGAAGCTCAGAGAGTTGCAAAGAAGTTGGACCCAAGGAGGAACACACCAAGGCACATCATAATTACAGTACCCAAGATTAAAGATAAGGAGAGCATCTTAAAAGTAGCAAGAGAAAAGGAAACAGTTACCTACAAAGGAGTTCCTACAAGACTGTCAACTGGTTTCTCAAAAGAGACCTTGTAGGCAAGAAGGGGCTGGAAAGAAGTATTCCAAATCATGAAAGGCAAGGACCTACATCCAAGATTGCTCTATCCAGTAAAGCTTTCATTTAGAATGGAAGAGCAGATAAAGTGCTTCCCAGATAAGTCAAGTTCAAGGAGTTCATCATCACCAAGCCCTTATTATATGAAATGTTAAAGGAACTTATCTAAGAAAAAGAAGATAAAAAACATGTACAGTAAAATGACAGCAAACTCACAATTATTAACAACCACACCTAAAACAAAAACAAAAAAACTAAGCAAATAACTAGAACAGGAACAAAACCACAGAAATGGAGATTACATGGAGGGTTAGCAGTAGGGCAATTGGATGAGGAGAGAGGGGGAAAAGGTAGAGAAAATAAGTAGCATAGATGGTAGGTAGAAAATAGACAGGGGGAGGGCAAGAACAGTATGGAAAATGTAGAAGCTAAAGAACTTATGACACATGGACATGAACTAAAGTGGGAGAATGTGGGTAGGAGGGGGGCAGGATGGAGGGGAGTAAAGGGGGAAAATGGGGCAACTGTAATAGCATTATCAATAAAATATATATATATTTATTTATTTTTTAAAAGGAAACAAATACATATTGTTTAGCTTCCTTTTTAAAAAAGATTTTATTTATTTATTTTTAGAGAGGGAAGGGAGGGAGAAAGAGAGAGAGAGTGAAACATCAATGTGCGGTTGCTGAGGGCCGCGCCTGCAACCCAGGCATGTGCCCTGACTGCAAATCGAACCTACGATGCCTTGGTTCACCGCAGCCCGTGCTCAATCCACTGAGCTACAATAAAATATATTAAAAAAAATTAAAACAAAACAACAAAAAAGTGGTCTGTTTAAATTAAAAAAGTGATTATTTTTGAAATAGTCAAATCACATTCATTCCTGTGTTTTAGTCTTATTTGGCAAGCTATGTTGTTTAAAAAAAGAATGAGTAATTGTGGCCTTTAAAATAATGAACATAACATCACAAAATTGAATTTCTTTAGCTAATTTTGTTGTGTTATAATAAGCAAATACAAATGTTGATTTAGGGTAGAGGAAGGGATTACAAAGTATAAGCTACTCAAAACAGGCCTGGGTAAGTGCTGAAATGGCCAGACTTAGAACATCTTAAGGGCATGGGGTATTTTGGGGGATAGGATATCTAGGAAGAGGTTGACAAAAAAGATGTAAGAATTCCAAGTACAAACTAACTTTTTCCGAAAATTTCTAATACTATCTTCATGAGCTACCCATAACCCTTTAGTACCATGACACAGTATGCCATAACTATTCCTTGGATAGCAGATGAAATAAAAATGCTATTATGAGTTCTCTAGATTAGTAATATTAGGGATCAGAAAAGGCTTTATAGTCTGATTTAGGAATTTAATCATGAGAAATAACATTTTATAGAAAAATGTGTTTAAAAGTCACAAGCAATAAAACTTAAAAAAAATTATTTTATTTATTCTTAGAGAGAGGGGAAGGGAAGGAAAAAGAGGAGAGAAACATCAATGTGTGGTTGCCTCTCATGCGTCCCATACCAGGGACCTGGCCTGAAACCCAGGCATGTAACCTGACTGGGAATTGAACCAGTGACCCTTTGGTTTTCAGGCCAGCACTCAATCCACTGAGCCACACCAGCCAGGGCCAAGAAATAAAACTTTGAGTACATAACTCATTCATAATAATCAAGGGCTTCAGAAGACCCAAATCCAAATTTACAAAAACAAAATAATAATAATCAGGCATCTTTGTGCCTTACAAACAGATTTAATACAAGCAAATTCTTGACTAGCAAGAGTTCCTTTCATTTCTGAGTCAATTGGCAAAATACACACACACAAACACATTTTTCCTTAAAACACTAGAGACCGCAAATGTAAATTAAAAAGTATGATTTACATTCTTGGTAAGAATTTCCTCAAATTTAAAAATATAATTATCTGATATTCCAAAGTGTCTCAAAACAAAAAAGAGTTCATGGTCTCTTCATGTAACATAATCTATTTAACATAAATGGTCTAATGTCTAGTCCAAATCCCTTTGTAATAGTTAGGTCCAGTTCTCATCTTCCTTGGCAAAAGCAGATTTAATTACCATTTTAGATAATACCTAATTAAAAGTAGTAAAATCTGCATTTATAGCATTCTAGGAACAAACCACTGAATGTTGTTCTAATGTTAAGTTTAATATCAAGTTTCATTTTATTTATATTATATAACTTCTACGCAGCCAGGAAAAAAATTAGAGTTCAGCTTTGGATGTAGAAAACTCCAAAAGAACATCACCCTAGTCTAAACAATGATAAAAAGATGGATTATCTACAAAATTACAAGTTTTCTTGAGGTCATCACAAAGTTGAGGTTACAAGAGAATCAGGTGAACTAAATTTCACAGCATGACAAAACCATCTAAGGATGATAGACAGGACACATAACCTATTTCCTGTTTGGCAGAGCATAGGCAGGAGAGGCAGCTGCCATAAAAGCAGGTAAGAATGAAACAGTTAAATTTTTAATAAAGTATATGAAGGTCATATATAAGCTGGCGTGAGAGTTTAGAATCACTGTAAGCCTAGACACTAGGGGACTCTTTCTCCACGGGTCTCACCAAGTACTGGTGAGAAAGACTGGGGGCAGGCCTGGCAGGACACATGGGACGAAATGCTGTAACTTCCTCCAGCCCTTGTCTTGTATGAGGCAGAGCCCTGAGTTGCTGCGGGACTGGCAGGAAACTCTCCTCTTCTCAGGGTTCAAGCAAAGATTCACTGTCTCACTGGGCAACAACAGATGTAACGGGGGCAGTAGTAAAAGGTGCGCCTCAGGGAAGGGCGGGAAATCTTCTCTATTCCCACCATGAGCCTGTACTAAGTAACAAGCAAAGGCTGTCTACATTGAATAAGGGGCAGGAAACTTTCCCAGAAACACTGCTGCTGAGGAAGGAGTAGAAGCAAAAGCCATCGTCCCCTGGGGGAGCATCAGGAAACCTGTTTGGGGCCAGGATCCAGCAGTGTACGAAGCTGAGGTCCATCGCCAATGGGGAAAGAGCAGCCCCAGGAGAACAGGAATTGCCAAAGACAGAGTCTGGAGCAGAGCTGAGTAACTCTCCCTGCCTCCACTATAAGCCTTTTACCCTGAGTAACAACAGTAGCAGCCAACCATTCATTAAGCTGGACTTCAAAAAAAAAACATGTACTGCATACACTGGAAACATGAGGAGAATGACTGTTGATTTTTCACCAGAAACAATGGAGGCTGGAAGAAAAGGGAATGAAATCCTTAAAGTAGTGAAAGAAAAAAAAAATCTCATCTCCAGAATTACACAGTAAAAATATGAAAAAATAAGGGTCAAAGTTATTTTCAGAACAATAAAGGCTGTGACAATTTGCTGACACTAGACTTGCAATAGAAGAACTATCAAAGAAAACAATTTAGCAGTTTCTTAAATGTGTTAAACAAGTACCCATGTGACCCAGCAATTCTATTCCTAGAGAAATGAAACTATGTTCACACAAAGGCTTGCATACAGTTTTATTTAATAGCCTCAAACTAGAAACAACCCAATAGTCCATCAACAGGTGACTGGATACACAGGTTGTGGTAACTGAGTATTATTTACTAATAAAAAGGAAAACTAATGGTTTATGCAACAGCATGGTTCAATCTCAAAAATCATTATGCTAAATTCCTTGAAAGAAGCCAGAAACAAGGGTGTAGATTATGAAGAACTCTATATAAAAGTTCTAGAACTGGCAAAATTAATCTACAGCAATAGAAATTAAATTAATACTTACGTGGGCAGTTTCTAAGTTACCTAAGCATGTGGGTACTTACATAGGAATAGGCAGATTGACTGCAAAGCTGTTAAAGGGAATTTTCTGGGTGTTAGAAATGTTTTTTATCTTGTTTGGGGTACTGGTTACAGTGTATATACATTTTTCAAAGTCATCACATAATAAACTTTAAATATGTGCATTTTACTGTATATAAATTATACTCCAATAATATTGATTTTAAAAAAAGACAGTATCTTCTTTAGAGTAATAAAACATTACCTGTACAGATCTGTCTTGTTATCAAACCAATCTGATAAGACTCGAAAGGTAAAGAGGGGAAAACGCTGATGAAGAACATGAAAGCTCACATTTTCAAAGGTGTAGTTAGTTAGAGCCACCTAAAAGAAAGAGACTCTATTATAATAATGCTTGTATTATATGCAAATTTGGTTCTAAAAGATTCTAAATATTACTTCTAACCTTTCATAGTAGATATGACAGCTACTTGCAACCATAATTTGTGTTACAACTGAATTATAATTAATTTAAAGCTATGTATATATAGCCTACTGGATAGAAATGTTAAAAAAATTAATATTTAATTAGAAAAAAAGCTGACCTGCTAAAATTCAACTTGGCCATGTAAAACTTACTTAATAGATCCTAGTTCTTATCACTTTCTTTTATATTCTATGCCAATACAAATAATGACAGGAGCATTGTTAAAGTAAGTTAATTTTTTGTTCTTTCCATACTTACTGTTTGGTCCTTGATCACATGCTGATTAACAGGATCACACAGATTCGAGGATGAGTTATTTAGTTAAAGGCAGGCATTCATCCTGCTCCCAAGAATTACATCAACACTAAGACCCAATAAAAGGACATTATGGAATCCATTCATTCCAAAACAAAAGATTTAAAAGGATATAGCAGAAATGCTTCCCCGTCTTCAAAGTACATAGGTAAAAGCTGTGTTAATGGGAAAAGAATACTAAAAAGAGTCCAAATTCATAAAACATACATCTAGATAGTCTCAGAAAAAACCACAAGACACAAGTAATTTAGACAATGGCAGGTATTTCAATGCAAAATGGAAACAGTCCCAAATTGGGACTTTCAACAGTCCCAATTTTTAGGTCAGGTTGGGATTCTGAAGAATAGTTCAAATAGCACTTCACACATTTGTATATTATATTACAATTTTAAATTATTTCCTTTCACCCTGACTGGTGTGGCTTAGTTGGTTGGGCGTTGTCCCATAAAGTGAAGGTTGCTGGTTTAATTCCCAGTCAGGGCACATGCCAAGGTTGCAGGCCCAGTCCTCACTGTGGCATGTAAGAGGCAACCGATAAATGTTTCTCTCACACACCAAAGTTTCTTTCCCTCCCTTCCCCACTCTTTACAAATAAATAAATAAATAAGTAAAATCTTTAAAATCTTTACTTTTCCATGTCTACAATCCATCAAGTACAAAACAAGGACTGAATGTTAAGTTCAACTCAGTGTACTGACCCAAACTGGTTTTACTTTATCTTTAATTTCTGTCAGTCTCCAGAACAGCAGCACTGGAATGTAGCATACTTCAGAGCATACAAACTCACACAGAAACAGAGCTGTAAACCTTAATGAAGTTATTCTAGAGTCATCAGGTACAAACCCATTATCTTGTAAGTAAATCACCATTCCCCCGCCCCCTGCAATCAGTACTGACCTGAAGTACTTCTCAACAATGAATGAATGACTCTTTTTATTAATCAAATCCCATATCTAAATGACTCTTTTTTTTAAAATATGCTTTACCATTTCAGGTATTTTTTTTTAAAGATCTTATTTACTTATTTTTAGAGAGGGAAGGGAGGGAGATAGAGAGAGAGAGAGAAACACCAATGTGTGGTTGCTGGGGGTTATGGCCTGCAACCCAGGCATGTACCCTGGCTGGGAATCGAACCTGGGACACTTTGGTTCCCAGCCCACGCTCAATCCACTGAGCTACGCCAGCCAGGGCTCAAATGACTCTTTTACTTTCTAATATTTTCATTTAGTTTTTTAAAATTCCCATTTAGTTTTATAGGAAACGGAGGCAAACATCTGATCTCAGGTAGTTGCATGATTACCTAATTGATACAGAGTATGTTTAGATTAAATCTCAACTTCTGCTGGAGTATACATCTTCATTAAAAAAACAAAAAACCACTCATACAGAAAAGATCACCTTATTGTCCTACAGTTCTCTCACTAGGGAAAAATTTGAAGTTTGCTATGTAAGTTGATCTATGAGGATTGAAGGACTAGAGGACTTCGTGACCTCAAACTAAACTTAAATACAATCGGAGGAATTCGTCCCCATTATCTGAGGTGGATGACAAACCTATATTCTGGGCCGATATTATTTCACACAGAACAATTTCATAAACTAGATTAAGACTAGACACATATTACAACATCATATAACAGTCACTCACTCTACTTTGGGTTTTCTTGGTGTCACAGAAGCATAACAACACACAGATATAATCTCAGTTACAATAAAATTAAAGGAAAGAAACAAGCTCTTTAAAATAATCCATCTTCAGAATGTTCTAATCTTCAAAGTGATTTACTCTAGAAGTTGAAATATGAATCTAAAAATATGAATTAGGAGTTTGTTACTTGTCTTAGGCAGAAATCTCAGTGAGTTAAATATCGGGTTAATGTACTTTGTAGATAAAAGCCAGAATTAATATAAATGAAGAAAGTGTTCAGTGTTTGTCCATTTATTTTATCGATAAAGGAATGGGTTGAGAGAAGTACGATTATACTTTTCCATTTACAGTGTCAATGTGCAAAACAATGGTTAATCATCTCGGAAACAAACTTACTCAGACTGGGAGAGGCAGTCAGAATTAGTGCAGGGGAACACAGGAAATAAAGATTAAAAAAAATGGAAGGAGGCCATAAATAAGCACCTGTCGCCTATATCCTCCATCACTTTATTCCCTCAGTTGTTCCCCATTTCCTGGAGTCTTCAATTTAAACAAAAAATGTTATGGTTGACATATACTCTACATAGAGAATGTACACATGACTTTTTATGTGTGTATACACCTGTGTAATGCCCATCCATATGATGACACAGAAACTTTCTAGGACATTGGAAGGCTCCTTTGTGTTCTTTCCCAGTCAATACCTTCCAAGGTTTACCAATATAGTTTTGACTATTTTTAAGTTTCACATAAATGGAACCATTTAATATATATTGTTCTTCATCTGGTTTCTTTTGCTCAACATTACGCCTTAGATTCATCTGTGTTGTTCACTGTAGCACTGAACAGTATTTCATTCTTTTTCATTGCTGTGTGGTATTCCTTCATTATAGCTACTTACTCTGCACCCTTTGTAGCTGCTTCCATTCTTTCCTTACTCCCCTCCAAGACTCAACAGTTTTCTTTCCTTCCAATGCACACACCATTTATGTCTCATTTGGCTCTTACATAATGTCTGTAGCTTCAATGATAGATACCCTATTGAATCCATATGATATATTTGAGAGATACACATACACTTATTATGAGCATGCTCTCCGTCCTCAAAGAGCGTATTATATAATTTTGCACATGTTTTATTTTATACATATGTAAAATAAAATATATAAAAACTCTCTGAGCATGGAGAGCATGCCAACAATGAGCCTAACTAAGCCTAGACCCGTTATTAGCTATGAGGCTTTATAGGCAAGTTGCTTAAGTTCTGTGAACTTTAGTTTCCTCATTGGGAATAGTATCTTACTACTCTGTTGCCTTACTTACCCTGCAAGTTTATGTCAAAATTTAAAAATGACAAATCTATAAAAGTGCCTTATAAAAGATAAAACATAGGAATGCAAGGAAGTATATTGTTTTACCTCTACATAGTCTTCATTGCTTATTGACAGACTGAAATTATGATAGAGAACATGAGAAGCAGATTCTAATGCTGCCAAACGGAGAAAATGGGAGGCTACTGTGCTGTGTGTGGAAGCATATGACCTTCCTAGTGACTCCGCTGGGAGTGTTCTCTGCTGGTTCTTCATTATCTTATCTGACTGCTCCTTCTTAGGATTTGATTACTCTTGTCTACTCCTCAAAATGGGTTTGTTCACAAAAATGTGTCTTTGGCTCAATGCTCATCACTCTCTTTGCCATTCTTCACCCGACTTCCCAGGCTGTATCTGTAATCCAGACCTCTACCCCATATTTGGGACTTTACTATTTAAATGCCTATTGGGTATCTTCACATAGATATTTTACTGATAACTCATGCTCTATATTCTTAAATCATCATTTTCCCACCCAACATGACCTTAAACCATCTATGTCAGAACCATGATAAATTGTTCTCGACACCTCTTCATGTTTTTGTGCATCCAGTTCTTGTTGATTTATCCACTAATTTGTTTTTAAATCCCATCACTCATTTTCATTTGTTGCCTTAATAATCTTCTCTATGGTTTCCTTACCTCTGGCTGTGTCCCCTTCTATACTGCTACCAGACAGATAGATCTCAGCAGTAAATTCATGTTACTGCTTCCATCCCACATTAGCCACCCACTCCCATAATCACACTCCAAGATCTATGATGATCAATAATGGTATCCCTCCATAACCCCACCCACCCCACTCTCTGACCACCACCTCCTATCCTTCCTCCAGTTTACCCGCTCTAGTGCCCTGATCTCTTTGCTCCTTATCTATCTAGCTGAAATTCCAGTGAATCATTATGATCACAATCTGGCACATACCATTCAGTTCCTTGCTTCTCTCCTGCTTCAGCTGTAATTAACTGTTTAATTAAGCTATAACCCTTTGCTTTTAAGTTGTAGACCAATCTAACCCTCTGTTACTCTGCACATTACATCTGTGAATCTGAACATACCTGGTAGGTATCACTTTAATTTCCTGATGCAAATTTCTAATGGGCTCTCAATGCTGCCTAGTTTTTATAGTTTCTTAATTATCTGCTCTCAAATTCTCCTAAATAACTATTGCATACTCTTCTTCTCTCATCAAATCCAAAAAACTCCTTCACTATGCTTACTTTCAGCTGACAAAAGTGATTCCTATTTCACTGAGAAAGTTGAAACAATCAGAAGTTTTCACTGCCATATCTACTCACCTTCCAGCATCTGCTGCATCCATATAATCTACTTCCCTGACTGTTAAAATAGAGAGGAACCTGCTATACTCTTACTCCATCTAAACCAGGCCGAAATTCATGCATTAAAGATAACACTTAATAGATATTTGTTTAACTGAATCAGGTCTATTTCCAATCTACTTGGCAAATTCTTAAAAGACCTGGATTAAGCTGATATCCAGAAGGACTCTAAATATAATTTTCTGGGGAAGAGTAATTTATTCTTTCATTCAAGCAGTCAATGGATATGTCATGAGCACTATTTAACAGGCACCATGTTTGTTACTAAGGACTCAAACTCCAGAGGGAACACCAGTAATTCTGTTAATGTTAAGCAAGAGAATGAAAACTATCATATTATTTAAAAAACAAAACAGATTATAAAAAACCCAACTAGGCATAGACAAAAAGATATCCATTTCAACTGTAAACTATCTGAGAGGTGCAATGTAATTCTTGAGTAGATGTCTTAAAAAGAACAGGGGATTTCACTTTTTTGTATGTAGTCTTTTGCATTTATTTTTTATATAGTAGATATAAAAAGCATATTGTAAAAACAAACTATAAAGATTAAAAAAAATAACAGAAGTTTGAAACTGCTAAGTATTATGAAGGAGATATAGATAAATGAAATGAAGATAAAAGGGAGCCTTTGGAACTGTTTAAATCCAGAAAAAATAGTTTGAGGAACTGGAATATGAAGAAAATTCACAGGGCCAGCTTCTATTGAAAGTCATAACCCTTGAAGTTCCAGGATAGCTTGAAATACAAGACAGTACTTCCCCCAGGTTCACTCAGGATTTCATGAAAATTTCCAAAGTGCCAGGAGTACTTTGGGTTAGTTAAAAAAAAAGGGGGGGGGGCAATCTAATTTATTTGCCTGTCTAAAAGGGGGGAAAGGAGTATAAATTAGCCAACTCATAACTTTCTCACAGTTGTTCCCTACATTCCCAAATAAAGATCAGATATACTATATATTCAGCCCACAATTAGAGAAAGACTTTGACCCTGAGTTTTCAGTAAGGACTAAAGAAAGCACCAAACTTTGAAAAATATTTACTCTTGAATTTTTAATTTTAAACTAATAATTGATAATTGCTACAGCTGTCTTTTGGATCTTCACAAATAAAAAGGCTCCTGAAACTAAGATTCAATAATCTGATTTTGTGTTTATATACTTCATTTATGTTCATCCCAGACAATATCAGAGACTACAGTTTGAAATGTAAAATAGGATATGCAAAACAAATATATCACAGTCTCTGTACCTTCATATTCTACGTTGTGTCACTAGAAATTATTTTGAAGTCATTAGGGATTCTTGTGCTCTGACAATATTTTAAGAAGAAAATAATAACATTATCCTCAAGCAAATACATATATTGTACATTTTCAAAGTAGATATGTGAGCATCAAACTTTAGGCTCATGGAACAAAAAGGAACTGCAATGAACAATGGGAATACCTGAAATTAATATAAAGGACATATTTTCTTATCTGAAAGAACTACTGTGTGATAATGCCCACGGAGTTACGGAGGACACGCTCAGAAAGTCGAATGTCTCACACAGATCTAGGAGAGCTGGGATGATCACAGTGCGCAGTGAGTGTGTAAAAGAGAGTTGTCTACAAACAGAGAGTTTCAAAAAGGAGGAGTGTGGAATAGAGCTTTCTTTTAAATACAAACATTTTATCTGACATTATCCAAAGTCCCAAATCTGAGAACAGACCAATTTAGAGTAGGTACTATTTTTACATTTCAGTAAGAGAAACTGGGCAACTTCAAGAATGTTATATAATCTAGGATCCTATGATCTTACATTTTTGGTGCAAATTGTTTTTCTGAGTGATTGCAAATTAGTAAGATAGTCTGTGGAAATTCATACTACCAAAAATCCTTACCTGGGGGCTCCCAAAGCCTCAATTGGGTGCTATAATCAACTATTTCCAGGTATAATCTTTCCAATTTACCTTATTGGTCTGACCCAGTTTTTAAATATCCTTAGTTCAAAAAGTTCCTTGGGTATCTAGACTAAATTTTTCTTACTGTAAGAAATGAAAAAGGCCAACTGAATTCACCTGGCCTTAAGTTCAAAAATGATTTAAGTGCAAAAATGACAAAATTATACAACATTTAAAAACACATACAACATATTTACTCTATAATGGCCTTAGATTTTCTAGCTACTGCTACCTTAAACACAAATCAAAAAGAAAATTAAAATTAATCAAAAACATTAAAAGTTAAATACTTCCGTAGCTGTGTATTTCAGAAAGTAACTCTACTTAAGTAAAACAATTCACAAAGACACATAGATTACACAGTTAGCTATACTAATACTCGATAATGACTAAAATTGTTATATTGAGCTAACCTCCTATTTCCAAACAGAATTTTATCTAAAGCACCTCACCTCATTTCTCATGATTCGCCACAGATTTAGTGTAATTCGGCCAACGATATTTATCTCACTCATTGTATCTGATCCATACTCATCTCTTTCAGCTGCAAATCTGTTTTCAATTTTGTCATCTGTAGAAATGAAAATATACTGCATCAGAATTCACAGAAGCCAAATTTCCAAGCAAATTATGTCGAAGAAAATGACAATAAAAATTAAAGATGAAAATTAAAGATGAAATGTGATTCACAGTCTACTTTGTTCAGACCTTTTGTTGACATCAATTAATGATGCTATTCAGGATGACATTCTCTTAATAACATATGGAGACGGAGAGTTCCTCTTACAGTAGAGTTCTGAGCCTAGTTTCTTAAGTGATGATTTTACTAGAATAGAAATTAAAATGTTTCTTGTATATAACACTGGGTATATACAAATGTTGCTGATTAGAGGTCCGGAATAGTAAACATATTTACCATATATTGAATAGCTATTATGTTCTAAGAACTGTACTAGGTTCAGTTCAGTTTGGTTCACGGGCTGTGAACCAAAGTGTCGCAGGTTCGATTCCCAGTCAGGGTACATGCCTGGGTTGCAGGCCATGACCCCCAGCAACCGCACATTGATGTTTCTCTCTCTCTCTCCCTCCCCCCGTCACTTCCCTCTCTAGAAATAAATAAATAAAATCTTTTAAAAAAGAGAACTGTACTAACATTATTTTATTTTAATACAGTCACTTTACTGTTAGCTTTTTATTTTGCACTGTAGTAAATTGTACTCAGAAATGTTTTATCTTGTCCCAGGTCATGTAGCAATGGAATCAGTATTCTACATCAGGGTTACCTGATCCAAAGATGATGTATGTACACATACCACCTCACTCTTCTTTCTTTATTTTAAAGAGAAAATATTTGAAAAAAACTTTTTCATTTAGCAAACATTTATATGATGTTTACTGTGTTCTCATGTTTTAAGTACTTCACAACTGTCCCAAGATAAGTTCTATTATTACCTCCATTTTACAGATTAACAATTTGAGGTATGGATAGGTGAAGTAACTTGCTTTACACCACATAGCTAGTTAGCTGTACAGCCACGATTAGGACCCACATAATCTTTCTCTAAAACCTGTGCTCTTTACTAAGCTGCCTCCCTCAGCAGGCCCTTTCTACTGTATTATGTTGCCTATAAAAATGGTTTTGCAGTGATTTTAGAAGAACACAAGCTTTCATTCACTCCTCTGATCTGAAGTTGTATCTTACCTGTTAAAACTAATTAAACTGTTAATGAGTGCATCTGAACATTCATGCTTCCTCTCCTGAAACCTATGCCAAATGAAATGTTGAAAAAATTGAGATATACCACTGTTCCTATTATTCAAGGGATACAGAAACAACAAAAAATTCATGCTATGAAAAAATGTAAAGTATCTCTGCCTTTTTATTCCAAGCCTTGGCAAAGCTCAAAAACATTTATTGTCCTTTTAGTATTTTAGCTTCAATTTTTCCCTTTAAATTTACCAAGTTAAGATATTTCACTGAAATCATAATCTCTCCCAGAAACTCTCTTGATTAGTTTTTTTTAAAATACCAATTCTGTATTTGGTCTTTTAGCCTCCTAAAAGTATATTCTACGTTGTCCTTGTCCAACATATGGGGAGTCTTTAAAATGAACCTCTTAAAAATTTTGTAGTTATATAAAAAAATATTTTTAAAGTATTTCATAAACTGTAATTTTGATATGACTCCCATTATTGCCCCCCTCTTAAATCAGAATCAGACTTTTGGGGAACAGCCCAAAATACAGAACCAGACAAGTAAAATTATAGTACATCAAGTCAAAAAATGTTATGTTCTTCATAAAGATTATGAAGGCTATTTCACAATATAGAATACTTGAGATGAGATGCTAGATGAAGGAAGCATGAAGAAAATGGGATACATGTATGATGAAAGTCATAAAAAATAAAAATCTATACACGTTATGAAAAATGACTAAAGGAAACAAGTAAATATATTAACAGTATATGTAGTAGTGAAACTGGGGTATTTTTTCCTTATTTTTCTTGATTTTTAAATTTTCTATAATGGAGTTTATGATATACATAGATTTACAAAATTTAGTCTTAAAAATTAGGCTAGAACAATAGTACTTTTAAACATCCTGTCTTTATTTTCTTTGTGATTTGCTCTGTAGCTGAACCATAAAACATTCACAATGCTACATACCTGGCACCCGAGATATCATCTGACATAAGTCAACACTTAGGGCAGCAGCCCTTTGTAAGAGGTAACCCCAGGAGTGCATCTGAATCTCATAACCTAGCAGAATATCAGGATCATACCTAAAGAAGGAATGAAAAAATTAAACAAGAGCCATACATTTAAACCTTTAAGTAGAAGAACTATTTCTTCATGACATAAAGGATAAAAATAAAAATCTATATTCTGTGTTTCTCAGAGGGGGATGGGATGATACAGCAGTACTCACAGAATTTGTATATAGGAAGGAATGGGGCAATCAGAGCTCTTGATTTGAAGCTGCTCTTATAAAGCAAGCACAGTTTTTACTTAGACTATATTTATTTGATGACTTGGGAAAGAGATTGATAGAAACTGGGGTGGGATGGAGGAGTCACCACTGAAGTATGAGAGCGAGGGTATGGCTGATAACGTAATGCGGGAAGGGGCAGGGTGAATGAAATGTAAGGGCATTTGTGGATAGTGTACTTTGAAAAGATTCCCCGCCTTTCCTTCCAGGGTCATTCTGTTGCCACTTCTCCACCTCTCTAACCTATATTGTCCTTGAAGAGTTTTAATGCTGAGAAAACTGGAGCTCCTATCACATCCATTTCTAAAGCACAGGTACAACATGAAGAGAATGTCAGATTACAGAGCCCTTCTGTTACAACTCTTATTTTTTTTTAAACATATTCTTTTTTAAGATTTTATTTATTTATTTCTAGAGAGGGAAGGGAGGGAGATAGAGAGAGAGAAACATCAATGTGCGGTTGCTGGGGGTTATGGCCTGCAACCCAGGCATGTACCCTGGCTGGGAATCGAACCTGGGACACTTTGGTTCCCAGCCCAAATGTAAGGGCATGCCTGGGGCGCACAACTCTTATAAAGACAGTTATTTCTGATTTCTTCATCTGAATTTCTTGGATTTAGGAAACATCTTGTTATTACAATAATTATTCTAGTCAGCTACTTGTTCTGTTGGGGCAACTAACAGATAACAGAGCTGGTTAAGAACACATATTTTTTGATAATGAATCAGTAAACACATCCTTGGGTGAAGATTTTTTAAAAGTTGTCTGTTTTATAAACTGCTACTGGTTGGAGATAATGGCTGAAAAACAAAAAAAAGTTGGCCTATGCTTCTTTTACTGGACTTATTAAATAGATTTTGTTCTTTTAAAATTATTTCATTGTTTCAATATTTTTCAGCTTTATTACATATGTTTACTTTTTGACCTGGAGGCTGTTTAGTTTTGAGACCCTTAAAGATGATAAAACATTTGTTTCAAGTTCAAAATTCCCAGGATTCTATATTTCTTCTGTGGAAACATTTGGTGACAATAACAAAATCCTGGTAACTTGTTTTTTAATTTTTGTGAATTTTATTCAGTCTATCGGGTTTTCTGGAAGTTAGAGAAAAGAAGAAGGTTGGGTACAGAAGATTAGTGGTGAAGAAAAAAAAACACCTGTGGAGAAAATGAAAGCAGCAAAAACATGAAAATGATTTTGCTTAGGCAAAAATTATTTGCTTAGGCAAAATGAACTATTTCACAACTAATATTTATTTTAAATAACCCACTGACATCTGCACAGATGAGGGCTGAGGGGGCTCTGACTAGGGCACTGGTAATAGGCACGGAGAGAAAGAAATTATCTTGGAAAATAACAAATTAAGTGGATAAAATACACTGGATGGATGTAGGGAAAAGAAAAAGGGAGGAATCAAAGCTTATATTTAAATTAGGGAGACTGGGAAAATGAAAAATTATTAACAGTTCAAGGAAATATAGAAAGACACAAATGACTGTGACAAGATGATAATGGATTTGGTTTTACTTGTTTACTATTACTTTATACTACTTTGTGTTTGCCACCAGAGAAGGTAAATATTAAGAATGAAAAAATAAAGATAATAAAATTCTGTGAGTATGCATGTATGTTTTGTTCAATTTGATATTTAGCATCCAGCACTATACATTATACACAGAGTTAACATTTAAGTATTGACCAGGCTAAGAGTTTCATGTACATTATCTCACTTAATTCTCATGTCTATTACCCATTTCACAGATGTGGAAACTAAAACTTAGATACATTTTTGCAGGATACAAAAATACAGAGGCGGCTGACTTCAAAGCCTAAGCTTTTAACAAAGCCTGTATTGTGGAGGTACTCAACACAGGGGGTATAAAAATGAAATAAGCACTTAGGGGGTTGTTTGGACTAATATAGACAGAACATTTCAGAATTAAAATGTTGATATATAAGGATTTTCTTCTCTTTAATTACACGATTTTTTAGAGTAAGCACCAAAAGTTAGTTTTATTTTGCTTACTGCATTTTTTCTTAATGACTAGTATAATTCATGTTATAGATATTTAAGAAAATACTACACTTGCAAATGATTGACATAATTCTCCATGTTGGCAGGTAATCCTGTTGCTAGGAATATACCTAACAAGGAGAAGACAAGAGTACAAAGCACAGGGACATTACTGGCTCTGTGCTGGCATACAAAATGATATTGGCTGAAACTTTATATTTTCCTTTTGCTAAGCTGCTTGAAGAAATAAAAGTGTGGGCAGGAAGGCATCTGACATGTTAATGACAACCTCTGGAAGAGATAAAGGGCAGGACAGACAACGGCAATACTCACGGTTAAGAACCCATCCAGTCATCAGTGCTATAAACACTAAGAATACATTTTTCCCTCCCTAAGTAGTGGGTAGTGGGCACATAATTTTTGATGCTCTGACATTTAATTAAAAAAAAACAACACATTCTAGTTTTCAAAATGGTTTATGTTAACCTATTTTGGATTCAATCAGATGTTAAGTGTGTAGAATATCATCCTGATGATCTTTAATGCAGAAGACTGTCTCAGTTTTACTAAATTTTACAAGAGTTCAACCACAGAGAGGATTAAGTATAATATAATGCTCAAAGGCAGCTTTTATCCACACATCAGGATTCAAAGAGTATTTTCTAGCCTAATTTAGGCATTTAAAACCTAAGGCTAGCAATGAGAAGAAATCTTAAGTTTCTAGAAAAGTGAAGCATTTAATAAGAGAGTCCATGGCTACCCAGAGTAATACTCTTGAGAAAATGCAAAAGAGCCATTTAATTATTTTCTTTTTAAATTAAATTTATGAACAGATTAAATCCAAAGCTTTTTGGAAATATTGGTTTAAGACTTAGAAAACATTTTTTTTTTAGGAAAAATAAAAAGTTTATTGGAATGGTGGCTGACCTCCAAGATAGATGCCTATTTAATGAATAAATTCAGTACAGTTCCCCATTATTTCACCATTACAAATAAAGCATGCTAATATCCAACTGGGAAAGCTAGAGGCTAAGCTAATACTTCTCTTTCACGGAACTGACAATCTTGAGAATAAAATATTCTTTTTCCTATCCCTAACCTGATGGAGGTAATGGGAGGTCAGGACAAAATCTTTCCAGGGATAACACTATTTTCAAGAGCAACATCAAGGGATTCTCTTTCCTTTTTCGACCTCCATCTATAATATATTAATCAGCAACAGTACAAAGGGATTCTCTGAACAAAACGGGAAAAAATCAGAAAATACAAAATGGTACCTCTTTATTATATCTGCAATTTCTTGAAAAAGTGCCTTCTCATCAGCAGCATAGGTAACTTCTAGTCTTGTAATTCCAGACCTAATAAGTAATGGGGTCTGATATCTGATATCTAAGAAATAAACAAAATGTTTATTATATATAATTGTGTAAGTAATACTACTCCTTACTTTTGAGTAAATTATGCTACTGAAATACTTCAAATTAAGAGAGCATTCCCCAAAGTAAATATATAATTACCTCAATTTCTTGAAATCTTTAAGAAAATTAAAAATTTCAATTTCCTATGTTGTTATATTCCTGAAAAGTTTACATTCACAAAATTCCCCATATAATGTGTCACTCGAAAAGAAATTTTATTACTTCATTTCTGTCTTTACTCTTCCTACAGGAAGAGCTTTGCTTAACAGAGAATATTTTAGTCAGTGGTATGCTGGAAAATGTTTACACCACCTCTGGCAGGGGGAGCCCTGATTGGTAGTGCTTGCCTATTTCCATGATATAAAGACTTCCACTGCGGCTGATTTCAAGTGACCAATGTGACATCAACTAGATAAGAATAATTCATGAAAATGTCATGAAAAAATTCATGGGAAAAAAAAAAAGCCATGATTGCTTCTCAGCCTTTTGGCTAAAATCAAGTGTAAAAGCCATGAAACATTCATTGGCTTGTGAGCATATACAAATCAGCTCAAGCACACTATTGATTAAACTGCAAGTTCCTATATAGTTTTGTTCTGTGCTAAGACCTCCTTCTATGGTGTACTATATAAGGAACCTCTGAACCAGAAGTGTATGTATTTAGGGAGAGATATAAGCAAAATTAGACTATATCTTAAAAGTATCTTATAAACCATTAAGTCATACTGTAATAGTAACTACTACTTCTTCTTTTTTTTTTTAAAGAAGAGAGCACAAACGCAGCCCACCCCCACTACAAATTCCCCCACTACCACAAATTATGCAGTCGAGCTCCCCACATTTGGGGAAATTGCAGGGGTCAGCACATCCAGAGTGCAATGGATAAGCCTCGCCCTGGGAAAACCCCCTTTGGGATTATGGTATCCCCCCTGCCAGGTAAGTACATATGTAATAGTAACTTCTCAAAGCAAACAGAAACTGTATTAGCAGCAAAGAGACACATAATCATTTGGTTTCAGTATCAACGATTAGTATTTTATAAAATTATATTTATAAAAAACTATATATCCGAATTGCAAAATTTTATTAAAGTCTTTATATTGTATTGCTTCTGACAATTATTTAAGTAAGAATAATAAATCTTGGACAAAGTGGTACACAAGACTTCCTACCCCCGCATCTCAGCAATTTAGAAAGAAATTCCTTACACTTGCTTGGTTTAAATCTCCAGCACAGAGATGGCCCCATTTAAAGGTTCATCCTAGGGCATGTAGGCATAAAACTAACAGAAATGAACACTACCTTGACTGGAGACTGTCTTGTCTTTATCAATCACTATCACACCCGTGAGTTCTGTTTTGTCCGTATCTGGTAGTGGAGTATCAGATGAGATGCAGTAGAACAGAGCACAGATTGGGTCAAATTCAGGATCTGGTTCTAAGTCTCGTCTAGTTCGAGCATGTAACTCCACACTGATTAGGGTAAGATTTTGTATCTATAAAAAGAAATTAAAATATGTTTTAAAACACTTTTATGCTGAAAAAAGTATGTTTCACTGACTCCAAGTAAATATGTAAGTAAAATTACAGAAAAAATGGCTGCAAAGGACACAGCTATAGTTTAATACTCTACCGATTAAGATTTTACTTCTAACATTAAATTCAATCAATTCATATTTTTGTAGTAGAAAATCTACTTATATGGTAATTTTCAATGTTACTATATATTTAAAACTATTTGTTTAAAATACAGGCAGTGCCACTCAATTTTCTCAATTCCTGTTTGAATGACTTGTCTAAGTGGTTGTATTGGGTTGACCAAAAGTCCATTCAGTTTTTTCGGTAAAGACACATTTTTCATTTTCACCAATAACTTTATTGATCTGGATACTTTGAGTATGTTGGCTATCTCTCCTGTGGTTTAACACTGATTGTTCTCAATTAATGTCTCTATTTGATTGCTATCATCTTGAACTGGTCTACCCAATCACAAAGCACTGTTCAGCAAGAAACCTCTAGCACGAAACTTTGCAAAACACTTCTGACATGTTCGATCGGTCACAGCAGCTTCTCCATACCCTGCACAAATCTTTTTTTGTGTTTCAGTTGCATTTTTACTTTTCCAGAAGTAATAAAGCATAATGTCACATACTTTCTTCCATCTTCAATATTAAAATGGCTGCACAAAAATTCACCAATTTTAATGTTTCTTTTTAAATGCACTCTGATATGACAGCTGTCACAATACAATCTAACAAAATTGTTTCGAATGAAGTTATAGACAACCAAGTGCTATTAGAGCCATCTTATGGAAAAAAAAAAACAAAAAACTTTTGGCCAACCCAATATATTTCAAGCCAAAGTTTGTTACCTTTTACTTTCTACCTAGTTAACTATAGTTTAAACTAGAAAAAGAGATCCTAAATTTTGAAGCTCATAACTACTTGAGGGTACTTAAATGTAAGCCTTTTATATGTACTAGGCAGATTGTTAGTTTTTCCTGAAAAAAAACAAAACAAAACAAAAAACAACAACAACAACAACAACAAAAAACCAAACTGTAAGAATTGCATGGTATCAAATACACAATCACTGGATTTTTGCCCATGCACATTTTCTCTCTGACACATAAGGCAAGAAATGTAGTATTTTTCATTTTAAACTTATTTTCCTATGCTAATAAAAACTTTCCTTAACTGTAATCTCCTTAGTTCTCTTTCTAAAATCAAGACACAGTAGTAAAAACTCTAGGTAAGAAAAACAAAATATGATTAAAGCTGGAATTACAGCCATCACTGTACCAGCAAGGCACATCTATCTGGCAATGGAAAATAGTAGACTACCATTAAAATACTGGTAATTATTCAGATCTTATATATTTAATAAAGGCTTTGTATCTTTGTATTTTGCATGCTAATAGTTGAAGAAACACAAATGAAAGGTTCTCACTAGTGATGGAAATAAAATTTGGTAAATCTCTTTAGTAAAATCCCTTTAATATGTATTTAGAAATACATATTAAAGTTAAAAATGGACATATTCTTTGATGCAGCAATTCTACTGAGAATATATCCTGCAGCTATATCCATACTTTTAGCCAAATTATGTGCACAAGAATGTTCACTAAAGATTATAATATTCCTTGTCTTTTATGAGCTATAAGAGACTAACAACCTAAATGTCTTATCAGTTGGGAACTGGTTTCATAAATTATGTGGTATCCATAAAGACCCCACATAATGGAAAAATCTGTAACCCTTAAAATTTTCTAACGAATGAGCCAAATCTGGAAAAGGCATTTGGGCTGGACAAGATGGTGGTATAAGTAAACATGGATCACCTCCTCATACAACCATCATATCAGAATTACAACAGCTAAAGGATAGCCATCAGAAATTGAGCTGAATAGAAATTCTACAACTATGGAATTAAAGAAGAAAGAAACTATGGAATTAAGGGAGAAACCATATCGAGACTGGTAGGAGGGGCAGAGATGTGGAACAGGTGGATAAGTATCAGGAGAGATATCTGAGGAGCAAAGAGTGTGCCATTCCCACACCAGACCCCCCCAACCCAGGTTTTTCCAGTGCCAGGAAGAAAAGTCTCCATAATTTCTGGCTGTAGAAACCAGTGGGGATTGAGGCTATGGAGACAGAAACTTCTGGAGTCTCAAGCAGTTCCTCTTTAAGGGTCTGCATATGCACTTACTCAGACTCACTCCCTCAGAGCTCCAGCATGGGGGTAGCATATTGAAAGGCATCAGAGACATACAGGGATGAACCGAATTGTTCAGCTTCAGGGAGAGATCTGGGGGCAGCTTTCTTCCAGACAGAAGCACTGGCAGAGGCCATTTTTCGTTTTCTGAGCCCTCCCCACACAGAGCCATAGAGCCAGCAAGCAGGCACCATATCTAAGACTCCATTAACTTCACTCACACTGTTTGTCCCACCCTGGTTATTCTATGAAGCCCTCCCGCACTCAGCTTTCAGACCCACCCAGACTGTTTCCAGTACCTTTCCATACAAATGACTTGTCTTGGCCCATGCTTCAGATTCTCCCAAATTCTCTCAAACAAGCAACATCTCGCTTCAGTGAGCCCCATACCCCTCTGTAAGTGGCCCCAGCACCAGCTTTAGCAGCAGCCAGCTTTAGTTCACTGCATGGACTTGCATAGGTATTTCCAAGCCCAGCACAAGCAGCAGCCATCTGTAGATCGCTTTGTGGCTTATGCTGTGTTACTCCAGAAAGAACATAGTTGGGGTCTCAACTACAAGAAGGGCGTGTACTAGCCCACATGAAGGGTGAACCTTTAGTAACTAGCTTGGGTAAAAAGGGAGGCTGTGCTGCTGCACCCTATAGGACACGTACTGTACTAGGCTACTCTACCAAGCCTGGGAGAGGTAGCAGCTCTTCCTAATACATAGAAACAAACACAGGGAGGCTGCCAAAACGAGGAGACAAAGAAATATGGCCCAGATGAAATAACAGAACAAACTCTAGAAAAAGAACTAAACAAAATGTAGAAGAACAATCTACTATACGTAGAGTTCAAAACACTGGTTATAAGGATTCTCAAGGAACTTAGTGAGGATCACAATAGCATTTAAAAAAAAACAACAACCCAGTCAGAAACAAAGAATGCACTAATTGAAATAAAGAACAATTTACACAGGGAATCAACAGTAGAGTGGATGAAGCCATGAATCAAATCAGCGATGTGGACTATAACGAAGCAATAAACAACTAATCAGGACAGCAAGAAGAAAAAACAATCCCCCCAAAAATGAAGATAGCGTAAGGAGCCTCTGGGGCAACTTCAAGCATACCAACACTGGCATCATGGGGTGCCAGAAGGCAAAGAGAGAGTGAGCAAGAAATTGGAAACCCATTTAAAAGAATAATGACAAAAACTTCCTTAATTTGGTGAAGGAAATAGACATGAGAGTCCAGGAAGCACAGGGTCTCCCAAACAAGATGGATGCAAAGAGGCCCACACCAAGACACATCATAATTAAAATGCCAAAGGTTAAAGATAAGGAGAGAATCTTAAAAGCTGCAAGAGAAAAGCAGTTAGTTACCTACAAAGGAGTTCCCATAAGACCATAAGCTGATTTCTGAAAATAAACTTTGCAGGCAAGAAGTATCCAAGGGACTGGCAAGAAGTATCCAAAGTGATAATAAACAAGGACCTACATCCAAGATTACTCTATCCAGCAAAGCTGTCATTTAGAATGGAAGGGCAGATAAAGTGCTTCCCAGGCAAGGTAAAGCTAAAGGAGTTGTTCATCACCACCAAATTGGTATTATCTAAAATGTTAAATGCACTTATTTAAGAATAAGATTAAAAGTATGAACATTAAAGTGGCAACAAATTCACAACTATCAACAGTTGTCTCTAAAAAAAACTAAACAAATAGGCAGAACAGAAACAGAATCGCAGATATGGAGATCATTTGGAGAGTTATCAGTTGGTAGGGAGAAGGGGGAGGAAGGGGGAAAAGGTGGAAAGATTAAGTACAGATTGCTAGGTACAGAATAGACAGGGGATGTTAGGAACAGTATAGGAAATAAAGAAGCCAAAGAACTTACATATATGACCCATGGACATGAACTAAGTGGGGCGATTGCTGAGGGGAATGGGGGTACTGGGTGGATGGGACGCAAAGGGGGAAAATTGGAACTGTAATAATATAATCAATAAAACATATTAAAGAAGAAATATGTTGCTGTTTCTATTTTTTAAAAAAACCCAAATAAAGATTAGAAAAAAATCAAACCATTAGAGGGTAGCCCAGAGACAGAACTTTTAAATGTATACCCTTCAGAATTATTTTTTCTTTTTTAATAGTAAGCATGCATTAATTTAGCATATACAAACATGTAAAATAGAAAAACTCTCCTTAAACTCAAACAAAACAAAACCAAAAGCCCCAACTTAATTAGAAAAAGATGAACATGTGGAACGTCTATAAAGAAGACTGAAGAGTTTTATAACTCTTCTTTTATAAAGAAGACAAAAGAGTGTTATTTATTCATTTATTTACTAGGCCAAATTTCACAGTCAGATTTTGCCTTTCTATCCCTTGATATAAAATGCGTTATGGACTTAGGGTTTTTTTTTTTTTTAAAGCAAACATATGGAAAGAAGTGACTGAGGGAGATTTATTGAGTGTATATAGGCAAGAGCTAAGGACAGGGGGCAAGAAATTAACCCTTTTCTTCTGCATTGAGTACTTATTTAAATCCTAATCCAAGGATATGTTTATTGGTTTTTGAGAGTGAGGAAGAGTTGGGGGAGAGAGGGAGAAACATCTTATGTGAGAAACAGCGATCAGCTCCCTCTCTTAGGCACCCTGACCCCGGGGATCAAACCTGTAATCTCTGTTATATGCCCTGATGGGGAATTAAACCTGCAACCTTCTGGTATATGGGACAATATTCCAACCAAGTAAGCCACCTGGCCAGGGCCTGCATCGAGTATTTATATGCAGAAGAGAGAGATTAGCCCAGGGTAATGGGAAACAGAATAAAAATGCTAGGGCACAAATTCCTAGAAAAGGAACAGAACGCAGTGTAGAGATTTTTGGGGTTCATTCCTAATATGACCACCAGGTGGCTGTTTGGAGTGTGCCTTGAAATTAACAAAGCCTGTGTTGGGAAGAAGCTATACGCAACCTGTCAGAATCTCTGAAGTGATTTTAACATCAAGAAGGCTCATGATTCTGAAATGGAGTTATGAAGGATACAGTAGCCATATAAAAGGAAATACAGGTTTTTCAAGTAATAAAAGTTATGAAATTTAACAAGTCTTTTTGCTAATAAGGTCTATCCAATTTGTTTTAAATAAATGAAAATACATTTTTAACAAAGTATTTTAATTTTCTAATTTTGGGTCTATACTTGATGAAAGATGTATTTCTGAGTTTACGAATTTATTAATAAATTATTGATTTATTATCAATAATTCAGGGGATAATACTGGGCTAGGTATAAAGCAGGAACTAAATGAATGCTGTTGAATGAAAAAATGTACAAATAAATATTTAGCAAGTTAGACTATATTACAATTTAATTTAAAAAATATACAATTCTTAGTTAAAATTTAGGGTAAAATGAGGACAATATTTAAATTTTTTCTTAGTTTATGCTTATGCAATCCTTAGAATGGTTTAAGACAGAATTGACTTCACAACAAAAAAACAAAACATGAAAAACCAAATTCTCTGCTCTCAGGGCAAAGATATAAAACAACGTTATAAACCAGCATTTTCCAACAGAAATACAATGAAAAGTCATATACATAATTTTAAATTTTCTAGTAGTTACATCAGGGGTGTCAAACTCATTTTCACTGGGGGCCACATCAGCCTCATGGTTGCCTTCAAAGGGCCAAATGTCATTTTAGGACTGTATAAATGTAACTACTCCTTAACAGTTAAGCGAGAGCTCAGTGCTGCCACCAGACAGAAACAAGGTGCTGGACCAGATAAAACAAAGCAGAGGGCTGGATTCAGCCTGCGGGCTTTGTGTTTGCCACCTGTGAGTTATAAGTTTAAAAAGTAAAACTAGGTTAAATTAATTTAGAAATATTTTCATTAATTCAATAAATCCAAAATATTACTTTTTAACATGTCATCAATATAAATGGTTATGAATGAGATTTTACACTCTTTTTTCTATTAAGTCTTCAAAATTAGTGTGCATTTTACATTCATAGCACATCTCACTGTGGATGCCAAATTTTTATGGAAATACTTGATCTGTATTTAGGTATCATAAAATTTACAGCTGAAAAAGTGGTTTACATGCCTAAATTTAAAAAATTTAAAATTCAGTCCCTAGACACATAAGCCAAATGTTAAGTTCTCAATAGTCACATTGGTAGTGGTCATATTGATACCTCAGGTATAAACAATAAAAAATACTCTAATTTCCACCTATTGCCAGTCAGATACATGCTCTTGAGTTGTTTTCTCTAACAGAGATAAATTTACAGTGACTCACAAATACTCTCCAGTCCATCATGTGACTGACTGATGGACATTTTAAAGACAAATTCTTAGTCTTTGGCATATGGTCTGTGTAGTGAAGGTAACTGGTTTATATAAAGATTATGTGAACAAATGAACTGTAGCAAGCACTAACCCACTGAGCCAACTAAATAGAAAATACAAGTAAATATTTGGAATGGGATATAACATCCTAATATAACAATTCAGAATAAGATTTTTTCCAATACTTAAAAAATTTTCCTTTTTAAAAAAAGATTTTGTTTTTAGAGACAGGGGAAGAGAGGGAGACAGAGAAGGAGGGAAACACTGATCGGTTGTGTATCATACCCCCCAACTGGGGATCTGGCCTGCAACCCAGGTGTGCGTCCGGACTGGAAATTGAACTGGCAACCTTTTGGTTTGCAGGGTGATGCTCAATCCACTGAGCCACACCAGTCAGGACAAAACCATTTTCTAACTTTAGTTTCTACAAACTAAATTTCAGTTATAAGATTTGTAAAAACTGTGAAACCACAAAGTGGACTCAATAATCAATGTTTGCTTTAGAAGTTTCTCTTAGTTTATACAAATATATGAATATATAAAATGGTAAAAATTGTAAGAACAGAATGATTAACAGGTATAGAAATCAATGTTTTACCCACTCAGTAAAAAATTCCCATTCCTATTCCACAGCACAAAACATAGGAGTTAAACAGTGTATGTGTCCTTACTGTTGCAATTTTACCTCATGTAAAGCTTTTGCTTCTTGTAAGTTTTGTATGCTGACTTTGAAACCGTAAGTATTGTTTAAGGATGGTCCATCAATCTGAGAACCTTCTTTCTTTGGGGTATTTACTGGTGCAAATTGATTCTATTAAAAAAAAAAAAACATAGCCAGAAAAAAAATAAATGAGCAATCATTTTCTTTGTTTTGATTACTTATTCCTACTTAAATAATATGCTTTATGTGTTTAGTAATACATGATAAACTAATATTTCTTTATATCTAAAAAGAAACCATAAGTATTTTATTAACATTCTTTTCATGCTAGTAATTCAAGATACCAGAACTAGATATATGTAAAATAGCTGATATAATCTGTAAGCAAACCATATGTTGATCTTTGAATTTACAAACCTCAACTACTGAAAATAATAGTCTTGTAGAGACTTGACATTTATACCACATGAACATTTATCTTGACCTTTACTGGAAATACGACAATCAAGCAGTAAGTTTGGCTAAAATATAAAAAAGGTTTGAAATTTTCGATTTGTCTTATACCCTGATACAAGATATGTTTGAAAGATGAGTTAAAACATAAATAATCTTCAAGGGTTTAGAAAGAATCGAATCTTCCTATTTTTTAAAAAATATTTCTTCTGATTTCCAAATCCATTAACTATTTATATTCACAACATACTGGTAATTGTTTTTAATATAAATAGCTTGTAATTCAACAATACTACTTTAATTAGAAAAGTTTTAAAAAAGTATTTATAATCTCAAAATAGAAATACTAAAATATATTTTATGTAATTCATGATATTTATGAGAAGTGGATAATATGGAAGTGATTTATATCATATATTTCCAAGGATACAAGTCTAATGTATACTTTTTTTCACACAACCATATATTTGAAGTTTTACCATATTTTTAGTATTTGAATAAAGATACTTATGATTTTTCAGACTTTCAATGGTATTGTTGTTTCTTTTATTATTTAGTAACATAAACTGAAAAAATCAATAATGTTATTTGAGAAAAAAGTAATAAACCAAGAAAAAGGATATATTTTTGGTGGGATCAAAAATCACTTACTTGAGCTCTGCTGTCATTGGATTGTTCTGATTTTGCCAGTAATCAGTTAATGTATTTGTATCCTCATAATCCACATTTTGGCTATCATATTCACTTTCTCTGTAATATTTGTATTTACATATAAGAATCTTTTAGATCCCAACAATAACAACAAAAAAACTAAAAAAAAAAAAAATAGGCAATTTCTTGTTGTCTCAAAGACATGTAAATAAAATGATGCAAAAATATATTAAAATTTTTTAAAAATTGAGACACAAAGTTATCAATTATCTAACTGAAATCTAAGAATCAGAATGGATCTTCCACTGATCGTTAAATATGTTTAGCATAGTTACCTTTGCTTGTGTTAAGAAAACTCTTCTACGAGTGTCAGTATTATTTCCTTTCTTATGACTCAATTTCTGGGTTTTTGGTTCTGTAAAAAGAAATTTCATATTTAATATATATATCAAAATTACATGCTTCCATTAAAATTTTTTTTGTTGTTCTAAATTAGTATTATCCTATAAATTCCCTCCAAAGACTTAAGTAAAACTAATTCAATCTTCTGATCCCCACCAAAATAACTTAAAATTTTTATATATTTAGATAAAAAGATTTAGATATTAGTTTATTCCTTAGTCATTAACTTAGAGAATAATTTAATTCACTTATTTACTTATTTATCATGATGAAGAAAAGACACAGTCTATATCCTCATGGGGTCTAGGGAGAATCAAACGTTCATTAAATACATACACAGAAATAAAAATTTAACTGGGGTAAACACAACAAAAGAGAATATAATTGGAAATTTTTATATATGAAGGAGGCTTTTTGAGCCAAAATACAAAGATGAAACAGTATTAAGTAGGCATAGCATGGAGATTTTCCCCAATTACAGAGCAAAAGACCTAGAAATTGCTAAGGGTAGATAAGATGGCTATGATAGAAGACCAGGTGAGAGATGATGACAGCTTGGCCTAAGGTTATGGTGGTAGCAGTAGAGGTAGAGAGAGTGGTGTAATTTAGGAAACTAAGAGGTTACAGGACTTGGTAATGGACTAGAAACTGGAGGATGGATGACAGTGAGGGAACTGGGTAGGTGTTACAAATAAATCCCATGTTCCTGACTTGTGGAACTCAGTGACAGAGAGATGGTGGTACTATTCACTGAAATGAGGAAAACTGAAAGGATCTTGATGTGTGGGCATGCATATTAGGTGCCAGGCACCTAATGTGTACATTAGGTAAATGTGTACAGTGAGATCACGCACTGACTCATAAATACTGACCTTGTGGTGCCTTTGAGTGTTCAAGTAGAATTGCCAAATAGGCAGTTGGATATATTTTGAAACTTAAGAGAGTTCCGAATGAAAATTTAAATTTGTGAGTTATCTGTAATAATTTTGTGGGTAGCAATTAGATAATTTAGGGAGAGAATATAAAGTAACAGTAAAGAAAGCTTAAGGCTAAGCCTTAATAAATCCCATCATTTAGGTAGTAACTGAAAATGTGAGATAAACTTCAGTGGAAGGCAAGTGGGAAGAGAGGAGTATGTGAAAAGCTAAGGGGAGGAAAAGCTCCAAGGAGGAAGGTGTGGTCAATCGGATGATGGCTGCTTACAGGGTATGAGACAGGATGAAACCATCCATAGGCTTTAGCTACATGAAGGTTGAGAGTCTTTGCAAGGGTCATACTGGTGAAATTATGGGGGCGGAATCCAGCTAAATAAAGTAGGTAGAAAAATGAATATGAGGTAAAGAAATGGAATTGTCAAATTAAAGAAATCTAAAAAATGTGGCTTCAAGGAGAGAAAAAAAGAGTAGAAGCTGACAGGTCTAAGGTCAAAACAGTTGTTTGGCTTTGTTTCTATTTGAAGGGTGGGAGAGACTTGGGTATATATTAATGGGAAAACGAAATGGGAAAGAAGGGCAATGGGAAAAATCAAGCTGAGAAGGAGGTAGGGTTTGTTAGAAGGCTCCTATGGTTCACCAAGAAGCAAGAATATAGGATGAAAGCATATGTAAATACATTTCACATATGCTTTCAAAGCAAAGTTTCCATGTGATGATGTCTTTCAAAGATGTGATAAACAATACTCTTATTAACTGAGCTAAAATTTCATTTAAAAAGCCCTAATTTTCATTAACATAATCTAATATTATTTTCATTTTTAATCTTTGCAGAACAATTATGAAGTCTTTCTGTTATTTATAAACTTACCTGTTGATAAAGGGCTAAGGCCAGTTGCTTCAGGAAGTCTTTCCAGAAGTTTTCTTTGTATGATTGGTGTACTATGAAGGCACAGTGGCTCACATATCCCCGTTTTTGCCCTAACATTAATTGGAGATATCACTAGAGGCTCCTGAGGCTCATTGCAGGGGCTTTTCTGTATATCATCTTTTACTTTTAAGAAGTTTTCAACAGTCAGAGAACATAGTTCCTCTTCTGGTGATAAGGGTCTGTCATCTCCATTTAATATTTTGGAATCTGGGGATGTGGCTTGTTGCCAAGGCGGAATTACTGGAGAATCAGGGGAGCTGTAACTAGCATAATAGTCATCATCATCTTCATCTTTCTCAGGATCATTTGCAGAAACAACTGGTGGCAGCATCTGACTTTCACTCGCAGTTTGACTGCATCCTGTGGTTGGAACTTGTAAAGCAATCTGAAAATTATGAACATCGTCCTTGGTATGTGCTGTAGTAGGGTGTATATGGGGAGTTGTATCCATTTTTGGAGGCACTGCAGGTTTGTCATCTGGGTTAACTGAAGAGCTGAAGTTCTCAGCAGATTTTACAACTCCAGCTGGCTCGGTTTTAGACAGTTTCTTGGAACGTTCGTATTCTTCTTTGGCTTGAAGCCATACTTGAACCAGTTGTCGACTTGGGGCACATTTACAAGGCATAATCACAATTTTTTTATCTTCAACCATTTTATGGCTATTACTTGACCCTTTATTGACAAATGCTTGGCCACTGCGAAGGGGTGACCCTGGTCTTGGGTTTTGAGTCATTGCTGAGAATGCTGTTTTCCACAAACGAAGTCCTTCCAAGGAAAAGTCCCCCTCAAACTCAGCTAGATCATTTGGAAGTCGAGTTTCTACCATGAGAAGCCGTCCGCCGATCTCCCTATAAAACAACATATTTTAGAACAACTGTTTTGTCTCACAGAGCAATTACTAAAATATTTAACTTTCTACCCTAGAAAGTTTTCAACTCCCTTTTAAAGTCTTAAAAATGCCCAACTCTTTCCTCCCTTTCCACACCTCCCTACATACACAAACTTTATGCAGGTATACTTATCTTTAGTTTCAATATGCTTTTCCTTACAGGTATATGGCTACTAAATTAATTTCCTTAGGAAAATCATTATTAATACCAGGGAAAAAAAGCCTTTTTGTTTGTTTTAAGTGCCCACAAAGGTTTCTTTTTTTCACGGAGGTAGGACAAAGTCATTGGATGCCTTTCCTCTTATTTTCAGTAACTTTCCATTGTCACCATATATACATAAAAACTGTGGAAGAATTTGTCATCAGATACTATATCCCTGGATTTTATCTATAGCCTCTTTCTACATTCTCTAGTGTCTACAGTTTAGCAAAGGCAGTTGGTTCAAACAAATCATTGAGCCTGACACTTGCCCCCGCCATTCCCTCAAACTTAAAAATAAAATCACTTACAATTGAGGTAAATTACCATAATTCTTTCTCCTCTTTACAAGGCAAAGTTTAACACTTAGAAGTGTTACATTGTAACACTAAGTTGTTTTTTTTAAAGTTGGCAGAGACCAGAGAATGCATAGGTTAAATGTATGTGTATATGGGGAATCACTAATTAAAAGGTAGCCCAATTTAGTTTCCAATAATCATAAATATTAAGATAAACCTCTCCATTTTTCTAACAAATCCATTGGTAATATTCCTGCCTTCTATAGCAGCATAAAAGAAGTCTTTGTTTTCCTCTTTGTGGGAAGTGTTTCACTGATATGAAGATACTTCTTAGTTTTTTTCTAATTACTTCTCTTTGGGCATGGTTTCCCAAATGTCTGGTCATTCTCTAGACAAAACTCAATGAACTGGATTCATTTTTTTTTCTGATTTGGCATTGAAGAAGGAACATCAGGGTTACTATAGTTCCTTTTCCCCTTTATATGGGAAGATTTTGGTCCTTACTAGTTAACTCTAGGTGCAACCATTCATCTAGTCTGTGAATTTTCTTAGTAAGTCCACAATTATGAATTGTTTTCACAATGATATCCTACTTATGTAACCAGGATCTAGCATCTTCCTTGAACCCACCTCCCAGCTAAGTGAAAAATTAAAAGCAGAATTATTGCTATTGAAGGAATTGAATACCTATGGAATATGACCATATCCAACTTAATATTTTCATACAGAAATCATAATAAAACTAAAACTAAAAAATGAGATGTGGTAAATTCAGCTTTCTTGAATACTGTCTGTAGCATAGTAATTATTACAACTCATGTCAAAATATATACCAAGAACCTTAAATTTTGCAGTAAACCTACTTCTAGGACTATAAGAAAAAACTCCAAAACACAAGGAATGCTTTATGAAGAAGATACTAATCACATAGTTATCTATAGTGGCAAAACAGAGAACAATGTTTCTGTACAATAATATACATGAGAATATTATACAGCCATTAAAATACTTAAAGAAGGCCATACATTTAGAAAGTGTTTATAAATATTAAGTAAATAAATCTGGATACAATATTGTGACTACAGTAAGATCACATTTCATAAAACAAAATAAAAACTGTATATACATTTTCAAAAATCTAAGAAAACTATTAAAATATTATTAGTAATTGTCATAGGTAGGGAAATGGTGCAATTTTGTCCCTTTGTACCTCATAAATTTTCTATAATACACCGATTTATATAAAAAATTGCATTTCAAAAATGATGACTATCATCCTTCTATTTCAGCTGCAGAGTAAATGTCAAAGTTAGACAACTACTATACAGAGTTAATGACTAGTCCATGATAAGTTAACTAAGATTTAAGAAATGTGTAAGGCTGAGGCAGAAAAAAGTACTTTAATGAAAAAAATACAGGGTCTGGCACAAATAATGCCTTTTTTTAATTATAAAATCTTTTATTACAAAATCATAAGCATGCAATTGTGTAACATAACAGTATAACACTCAAGCACACGACATGACATTTTAGGTGAAATGTTCTAAGTAAAACTATAAATCATTACACCCATATTATAACCCTACCAACCATATTCAAGCAGGTGTTACTTCTGCCAGACCCTGTAGTACACCATGACTACTAATAAAGACAAAGCCCCCCAAACAATGGAAACAAATGTCTAAGGAACAGACATTTGCATATTCTGGCAGTGAAATAAGGAAAGTATATTCATGATAAAAGACCACTGGGGGCAGTAGGCAAAACCACCCAAAAAACTGTGTGTGTGTGTGTGTGTGTGTGTGGAGGGGGGTGTTTCTGTCCTCTTCAAGTCCTTAGAGGAGGAAACTTTTACCCTCACTCAAGGATATATTTATTGATTTTAGAGAAAGAGGAAGTGGCAGGGGTGTGGGTATGAGAGAGAATCTATGTTAAGAGTGAAACATCAACAGTTGCTTCCTTTACATACTCTGACCAGGAATTGTACCTGCAACCTTTTGAACCACCTAGCCAGGGCTATGATCACTTTTTTCTCACCCCTTTCTTAAAGGACTATTGCAGGAATTACTGCTAATCTGCTGGGTAAAAGCCTGGCGTTTGTTGTGCCTTTTTTCCTAAGGTCAGAGGTATGGTGCTGCTAAAGGTCAAGTGCATATATGCAGTATGGTCTCTTGCCTCAGTTGGCTCTTTACATCTCTTTCCATCATTTACACTAGCATGGTCTGCCTCAGCAGTTCTAGCCGACCTCCTTTGCTTTTAAACTGGGTGGCTGAAGTGAACTGCCTCTCTCTCTGAAACTGATTGGGTAAATGAGATTGAGGACACAAGGGGCAGGGCAGAAAACTATCACTTAAACCTGAATGAAGTCATGTTCCAACTTAGCTCTCATTAGATGTACTCTATCTTGGTGACACAGGTGGTACAGGATACCTTCTTAACTATTAGTTTATAAATAAACCAGTATTGTGATTCCTGCCCATTTTGCTATTAGCTGTGTGTGTATCTGTTTATTACTTCTCTGAAAAGATTCTTAAAAGAGATAATGGGAATTAATTCCACCTTGCACCTGTAACAACTGTACAAACTAACAACAGTAACAATATGACTGAAGATGCTGACAACAAGGAAGTGGTATATGTATATTAGAAACAACTTAATTTTCATTTGGAGATATATATCGTAAGAGTACTTAAAATATATCTATTCTCATTTTCACTTAAAAAATCAAGTTCTTTTTAAAAATTTTAAGTTTACCATTTTAGAAATAACATTTAAAAAATGATAGTTATAATACTTGGCAAGTATCATGACATCCTTCTTAATGTGGAATCATGTCATAGAGGGCCTTTGCATCTGTAATCCTTAATGGAGACACAGTAGATCCAAAACCAATACTCATCGATTTAAAGAAATTTCTGTAGGTGCAAGCATTCAGCTGTTTTGTAAATTTTCTTAATAAGTCCATAATTATGAATAGCTTTCACAATGATATACTACTTACAAATACAGTACTAGTCAGACAACTAGCAGTCAGGTATCAAATGTTGTACACATTGTCATTATTCAAAGACCCAAGGGAACAATATAATTCTGATTACCTGGGTTTTTCTGGTACATCAGAAGGATTACTGCAAAATGGTTCCTGGTAAATAGTTTCTGAAAGGTCATGATCCAACAAGGTTGCCATAATTTCTTCCCTACTTGGTGGGGACATAAGTGGTTTCAGAATGTGAGCAGTTCGAGAGGTGAAGCTGCAATTTTTAGACTGTGAGGGAGAGCTGGCAGACCTTGGTGAACTGTCAGGAGTTGGTGTCAATATATCATTATTTCTTGAAACATACAATTCTAAATCCTCGGAGGCTGCATCCACAAGTTCACCATCAGGGGAGGATAGTATTGTAGTGAAAGAGGTATTGACTGAGTCAAGAGACTGTCCCATTTCTTTTCTGGCATGACCTTGAATCCAGTCTGAACTGCCAGGCTGTGAGAGGCTAAAAAATACTTCTTTGCTTAATGAACTCCTATTCAATCTGGATTTTTCATTTAGACAGTCCTCTGCCTGCTGGACACAGAAAGAATCCATTACTGAGTTAGACCGAGTAGTTAGAGAATGGAAGCTATTTTTCCACTGGTTGTGGCGATGGTTCTCATTTTCTATGGATGATTTCTCAAATAGTTCAGGGCTTAGAGTACTAGATCTAATCCATGAGGATGAGTCTGAGGCATGTTTGTCTTGATCACAATTCTGGTTATCATGACTTAAAAACTCAGTTTTTTCTATAGTTTGTCCTGGGAAAAGATCCTGAACTGCATCACTTAGGAACTTCTGAGGCAAATTCTGATCAGCGGGGACAAACTGACTCCCAGAATAAAAGCTACAAAATCCAGTCTGACCAATTGTATTAATATCAAAATTATAATTATGTTCAGGAGACAAGCTATCCTCAAGTGAATAACAACTTTCAAAACCTGGATCTGAAAAAAAGATGGGACTATCATCCGACATGGAATTATCCAACTGGCCAGAGTTTTGTAAATTTAGTGAGTCTACTTTAAGAAGTTTGGGGATTTTTTCTTTAGGTTTTGTACTTCTGGGAGTTCGAGGTTTTCTTGGAGATGTTACTGATCGTGTTCGCTTAATTGTTTTGTTATGCTCAAGGGGAACAGAAATATTTTTGTTTGGTTGATGTTTATTAGATAATGGGTCTTGCAAAATATTTGCATTTTGTGCTTTCTGCTGTCTTTTCTGTAACAATTCTTTTAGAACTGCCAGTCCGGACTGTCCTTCACCAAATGCTGAAGGTGTTGATACATTTTGACTTTTACACTGAGAAAGTGCTTTGGTTTGTGAAACTGCTTCTGACAATGACCTTTGTTTTACCCTTTCGGGCTTAAAATTTGACATACCTAAAATAAAGCCTCTTTGTTTCTGTTCCCATGCTATTTGTTTGATTGGACTTCTCAGGGAAGTCACAAAACAATTATTAGGCATCTGGCTTTCCTCTGATGCTGCATTTCCTGGAGAACAAGTTTCACTGTGCTTTGACTGTTCTGCTATGCATACAAGCTGCTGCTGACTGTCTTTGCAATGCAAAAAATTAGGGGCATATGCCTGGTCTGGCTTTGATTCTAGGGAATTACGGTATTCATTTAACTTTCCGATAGATGACAAATAGTTCCTTTGTGTATTTGCATTCTCTTCTGTCTTTGGAGACATTATACCCGAAGATATCTGTGTATTCTGTGCAACCTGAGACAAATGGTTTGAAAGGTCAAATATGTTTTTTTGAATCAAGGTTGATTCCTTTAGAGTAAACATAGTACTTTGATTATGAGACCTTTGAACAATTTTTGAGATTCCAGGTCCCAAAGAATTACAAACAACTGATGGATGCAAATCATCTCGAGAACTGGGGAATGTTTGCAAATCTACTGGTTTCTTGCTTTCTAAGAAAGAAGGAAAGCAGCCAGATAAATTATGTTGTGCATGAATTCCAGTGGTTTGGGGAGCAGAAAGGGAGTGATCTATAGCAGAACCCATTACTGACACATCTTTCTGTTTAAAGAGTAGTTGAGAATCTCCAGAACTATGTGAGGTCTCAGACACATTCTGATGTTTCAGCACAAACTTAACTTCAGCACTAGACTGAGATTTAGGTTTTTCATCTTTAAGCATTATGTGCTTTCTTGGTGTACTTTTCTCATTTGTTTTTTGTTTCTGTTTTGCTCTCAGTTTCTTTTTCCCATCATCTACCACTTTATTCGTCTGATTTCGTTTGTTCCTTTTCTTAGGAACTACAGAAGGATTAACAAGCTTTGTTTTTGATTTCTTCACTTGCGATCTTGCTCGACTATTTTTTTCTATGTGGGAATTAACAGTCTTGCTATTATATGCATTAGGACCCTTAAAAAGCACTGCTTCTTTATCTGCAGCGGCCATAATTTCTTCAGCTCTTGGATCTGTGGGAGACCAGCAACGAGGTGGAGAAGAATTTATGGGACTTGTGCTTCTCTCAGAAAGAAAACCTAGTTTAGACATTACATCACTATAATTCAAGTCACAGTCTTCGGTTTCAGCATTGTAAGATGGTGAGGGAGGAGAAAGAATAGCATGTGAACGTTTTTTCCGGAAAGACAAAGTTCTTTTAATATTTTCACTATTTGTCCTTTGTTGCTTACCAGTTTTTTTCTTAGCAGATTTATGTTTAGTTTTTCTTCGGTGACTTTTCTTTGGTGTTAGTGGATAAATGGGATATTTGGTTGCAGGGGAGTCAGGAACTTTTGGCCAAAAATCCTTCAAAGGTGCAAGCTTTTTATACAGTTCCATTTTTTCCTCTGTCAATATTACTTGTTTTTCTTTAGAGTCTATTTTTCCTAGTTTCACAAGCATATTTTTTCTCCCTCTAAATCTATTAATAATAATATACTTTATGATGACAGGGGGCAGCTTTTTAGACATTTTTCTTCGTTTTCGTGATTTGAGAGTTCCATCTAAACTTTCACCAATTTCTATGGGATGAGGTAGGCTACTTTTTGAGTTGTGTGTTACAAAACTTGACTCACTATCTTCAGTCTCATAATTTACCTTGCGTTTTGCTCTAAGTGTATATTTATTTCCATACAATCCGAAGGACTGCTCAGTTTCTAAGGTTCCATCTCCAAAGTGACAATCTATAAAACTCTCTGTAGGTGTTTTATTTTCAACAGCTCCACGGGGGACCTTAGTTAAATCACTGGCCAGTATGTTATTCTTCTCAGAATTACCATTACAAGGATTATTTTGTACACAATTATCTTTTGCACATCCAGTGTCACTAATTTTGGTAGAAGTCTCTTGGTGACCTACAAGTTTCTTTTTGTTAATTTTTAATCGGGATTGTTTATTACTTGGTTGCAGTTTATATGTGACAGGAGAGAGTTTTTGTGGTCTACTCAGACAATTAGAAAGAACAACACTGGGGAAAAACATATAATGTGCTGCTTGCTGGCTGAGGTTTGGCTTTTCTGTTTTATGTTCTTGAAATTCTTCATATCTAATTTTAAGTTTATTTAGTCCACTTTCATCAGCAATGCTATCAAGAGAATGTACCATAGTTCTATTCTCCCCTGAGCATGACAGCAATTCACAATTTTCAGTTAATGATGAAGGGAATAAACTGTTCAGAGCTGTGCTGTTTCCTTTTTCATTTCCTTCAGATAATTTATTTTTTGAATCACTTAAGTCACAAAAGTTGAAAGAATTTTTGCCCAGTGTACTTTCGCTAGTATGACGGTTCATATGTATAAAAGGAGCATCCTTATCGATTTTTCTAATGTTTGTATACTTTCTACTTGGTACTTGTCTTGTAACAGATGGAATATCTTCTTCATAATCAAAAACACTACTTTCACAGGAGGATACTGGGAGGATATCTTTCTTTTCTTTATGAGAGTTTTCTGAATGGACAGTACTGCTTAAAGATCCAGGGTATTTCATAGAGTAAGTGCTTTCATTTGTGAAAGAAGCAACTGAATGATCTACACCTTTTTCTGTATTGTTTGGCTGTGAAAGATCTTCAATTAAATCTTCCTTGTTCAAAACATGGGAAGAAAGGGCACTTGTGTGTTTACACTGAAAGGTAATTTTAGCAGAAGATGGGGGTTCTAATGTAGCAGCATCTTTGTGAAAGAGGGAAGGTTTTACTGATAGCTTGCTTGTTGCAATCGCAGAAGAGTGGGTTCTAGAATTTTCGTTGTCCAATGGATTGTCTGAAATGAAGGGAAGAAGAATTTATTTCACTTCAATTCTTAAGTTTTAAAATATTTTCCCATATCATGATACTATCACCCTAAAAGAAATTATATGAAATTAAGCTTGTATGTTTAATATGGTTAGCTTAACAGAAAGATTACTCTTATCATTAGGATAATAACTCAAGCTAAGTAATTAATAGTTACATTTAAGTATTAGTCATTATTTTAAATACATAGTCCTTTGATCATAAATAGATTATATTAATATTCAGTGCCTTTGGAGAAATAAGGAAAAAATACTGTCACCTTAAAAAGTTTTCATAAAATAATATACTTCCTCTTATCACTTCAAATAAGCTGAGCATATTTCTTACAGTTTCTTATGCTACTTATATAACATGATAAACTGATTAAAGTTTATGAAGCTTCAAATCAGTGATTAACAAATGTTATCCTCTTAAAAATGAGAAAGAATAATCTATCTACATTCTCTCAAAAGAAAAAATTCTAGAGAAGAATGTAACATAACAATCTTGTTATAGCCTTACTCAGCCAACTACCCCGTAAGTTTAACTGTCATTTTAAAGTGAAATATATTTTTAGACCCTAAAGTAAGAAATGCTCACAGGAGACTTCTTTACTTACCACTATTTTCATCTGCAGTTCCATCTAACTGAGGTATAGAAAGATCGGCTAGAAGCAAACTGTTATTACTCCATTCCATTTCTTCTTCTGAAGATGAATCATCTTCTTCAGTTGAGCTTCTGTGGGTATTTCGGCACAGTGATCTAGAGAATATTAAGATTCACTAGTTGAGTATGACCATTAGAAAAAAGCATGTTGGACTCAAATAATTTGCCTAATTTGATCTCTAGTAGTAAAACAATAAAAAAAGATCTGAAAATTGTAACTTTAAAAAGAAAAGCAGCTTTACTTTGTTTAGTATCACGTCCAACAAAAAGTTATTGTAAATAGATTTCATAATCCCTTTCATATGAGCTACAACACACCGTCATTCCTGTATTCAAAGCTCTATAATACCCTGGATCACCATATCTAATCATGTTCTTCCTTATACTCTCCCTTCATTCTATCATTAGATATACACATATATAACAGCTTGGGTGAGAGAGAACCCAGTAATTTCTAAAAGGGCAGTGCCTGACATATTTTAAGAAGTCTCCATAAATACATAATCACTACATTATCAATCAGAAAAGGCAAATAAAAAGGGGTAATAAGGTTAGGGTTGAAAGACAAAAAATAACACAGATGAAACCTAGAAGCCATTCCTTGTCAAGTTGACTCTATAATTATTGTTCTAATTATTCTAATCTATAACAGTTTAACTCTCTTTTATTCAGCTTCTGGTATAAGGAGACACCACTTATTACCAACACATATTAATACTTCATATATAAATAGATGATTTCTAAAAGTTATGTTTATGGGGAAGGGAAAACTGCAGGAAGGTAGTCAAAAGGTACAGGCTTCCATTATTAGGTAAGTAAGTAGTAGAAATGTGATGTACACCTTGATGACATCATTTACCACTGCTGCATGATACAGTAAAGTAACTGAAATAACAAAAAAGTTACCTCTTTTTGGCACAATGTTCCTCAATATTGCTGTCCCATCTCTGAGACATAACCAAACTAAGCTCCATTTCTTCTTTTTCAATCTGTGGTTCATTTTCTTCATCATCACTATTTTGGGGGTTTTTAGTGTTTCCAAAGGAAAGACATTGCGATGGCATCCCATTTCTTTCCCTCTGATATCCATCATTTTCCAAACCAGCAAGAAGACGTACTAGAGCCTCATCAGGACTACTGTCCACTATAAAAGAAGTGAAGTATCACCAACAAATAACTTAAGTGTTCTAAATAATTCAACAATTCAAATCAATTATAAAACAACAACAAAATAAAAGATCCTTGGACCATCTGCATTGGAATGACTGTGTCCTTATTAGAAGATTTCCAGATCCTATCCCATATTTACTAAATCAGAGTATCTTTTTCTAATATTTTAAAATGTTTTTTCAATTACAATTTATATTCAGTATTATTTTGTATTACTTTCAGATGTATATCAATCAGAATTTCTGAGGTAGAACCTAGGAATTAGCATTTTAACAAGCTGCCCAAGCTCTTACTGCATAATTAAGCTTGAGGAGCACTAATCCAATATGGTCACAAATACTGAAAATAAATATAAAGTATGTAATAAATATATAAATTAATGCTAAGGAAATGCCCTAAAAGCAATATGTACAAACACCCTATCCCTGACTTAAGCTTTATTTAGCTCATTTAGCAAATGATGTTTAAGGAGGTGCAAAGACACTCAGAAATAACTGTCATTATGTTCTACACTAGCCAAAAATTAATCACTTAAAAAAAACCATCCAGGGAGATTTCTGATACTCACCAAGAATCAACTATGATAATTTAATAATATATTTTAACTTTGTGGAAATTTAATTCAAAATAAGCCATTTTCCCCTAAAGTAATACAGTTTTCCTCTAACAAAAGTGAAGTTAAAAAAAGGTTATTATTATTTTCTTACACAATTGTTTAGAAAAAGCTGTGTAGAAAACAAAAACAAAACTACTCCATTTAATAAAAAATTTCATTTTTATAATGAGTAAGGAACATGCAACATTAAACTCTTCAAATCAAAGAAAAAAATAACCCTGGGGTGAAGTGGGCAAAGAGGAGGGGAACAGGACACTTGTAATAGTATAAACAATAACAGTAAAGGGGAAAAAAACTGTTCACATATGCACTTTCATTGATTATAAATATGGAAAGTTTATGGTAGACTGTTACTTACAGAAAACTGGTGACTCACTCAGTCTTTGGGTCAAAGGCTGAAAAGTCTGGCTATTTTCCATGAGGTTCAAAATTGCTTCTTCATTAATAAGAGCTTCTTCTACTTTGTGTCTAGTATGACCTTAAGATGACAAAATATATAAACATTAAGGCAATGCCTAAACTTACTGTTTAGGTTTTACATAAATTAGGAAGCATTACAATGCAAACCCATTTAAAAATTTGAAGTATTAGTGAAATATGTTAAATAAAAACATAATAAAACTTAATAAAAGCCACAAGAATATCTAACTGGTCACAAGGAATAATTAAAAAAACCCTTCAATTCGCAGGTTCGATTCCCAGTCAGGGCACATGCCAGGGTTGCAGGCCATGGCCCCCAGCAACTGCACATTGATGTTTCTTTCTCTCTCTCTCTCTCTCTCTCTCTCCCTCCCGCCTCTCTCCCCCCTTCCCTCCCCTCTCTAAAAATAAATAAATAAATAAAATCTTAAAAACAAAACCCTTCAATCTATTGAAGGGTTTAGTAATTTAGTAATTACTAAATACTTAAAATCTCTTTAGCCTTTTCAATCCTACCTAGTTTGCATATATTTATATTACTCTGATAAAAATTACTGCACATTAAAATACTCAAAGGAAAAAGACAAAGTATCATATTTTAATAATAAACTTCTTTATTCTCTATGGCTTAAAAATTAAAGGAAATTCATTTCACATTAGTATATATTTTTCAGGAAGTTTCACTTCAAGATTTAAAAATATGTCTTCACTATATCTTTTTTACAGAAAGTAAATTAAATAAGATTAAAGTAAGTAAGTTAATTAAGATTAATTTTAGGCTAGGGGGTGGGCAGAGATGGGAGTAAAAGACAAGACTGTACTTGAACAATTAAAATAAAATTAAAAAACATTAATTTTACAAATAAAGATAAAATTCATTACAATGTAGTCAGAGGAAGAGATGGAGAATAAAAGCACATAGTAGTGGGGGCTATAACGGTTATATAGCAGAAACTGTCCGGCAGTTATAAGGGAGTTAACTAAGTGCTTTCAACAGTTTTTAAAAGGTCATTAAAAGCTTCAGGACAAAATATTTTTAACACATTCTAGACACAGCTGGGCTAATACAGAATGTTTAATAAAAATAAAAGAACAAACAAAAAACTGTGAAAATAGCTCATGCCAAAAAATAAGACAATTGAGAGAGGACCATAAAAACAAAAGCTGGTTCTCTGAAACTAAGGATATAATAGACAAGACTGCCAAGAATAACCAAAATAACACAGAAGGTGTAAGTAAATGTTAGAAATAAAAGGAAAAGTGCCAAAAGGTCAAAGGGATGAAAAATACTATGAATAACTCTACCAAATACATGGAAAAATCAGATTAAATGGATAACTTTGTAGGAAAAATGTGCTATAAAACCTGATTCAAATAGAAATAGACAGCTTGAAGAGACTTACAGTAATTATGAAAATTGAATTAGTAGTTTAAAATCCATTCCCTTTACCTGCCACCCCCCAACACCAAATCCATCCATAAAAAATACTACTAGACCTGGAAGGTTTTATAGGTGAGATCTATCAAATATCCAAAAAACAGATTATATCAATTAATAAAAATACTCCACAACTCATTTAATGGGACAACTCTTTAGTGGATCTTTCTTGATTATTAAAAAAGTTAAAATTCTAAATAAAATATAAGTGAAGTAGATACAGTAGTACCTAAAAAAATACGACATTTTGACAAAGAAGGATTTATTTCAGGAGTGTAAGAATGGTTTAACACTAAAAATAAAAATTATTTTAAATACTACATTAACAGTAAAGAAAAAACTGATATAAATTCAGAACATTTGTAAAATTAAATATCCATTCATGCTTAAAATAACAAATCTTTTTAGTCAACAAGAAAGAGAGGAGGTAATAAGTTGATTAAAGTGTATCTACTGATATCCTGCAGTAAAGTTCATACTTAATAATGAGACACAGAAGCATTCCAAGTAAAGCCAGGAAAAAGACTATTATTGTTTCTACTTAACATTATCCTAGAGTTGTTAAGCAGTGCATTAAAATATGTTTTGAAAAGTATGAGGATGGGAAAAGAAATAATAAAATTGTTATTTGCAGATAATGACTCCACACATAGAAAATTCAATGGAAAAGACATATAAACTAGCAGCACTATTAAAAGTTGCTGGATATAGGACTGACATACAAAGGCTAGTAAAGTTCCTAAATAGCAGCATTTAGAAGGTATAATTTTTGAAAGATAAAACTTAGAATTGAAATAATTATAAGACACCTGGAATATACCTAACAAGAGACATAAAATAATTTTACAAAAAAATTTCAAAGCTTTAATGAAAAACATAAAAGACCAAATAGAGTGAGAAATATAGCATGTCCAAAGATGAAATGATTTGATATATAGATTCAAAATGTTCCTAAATCAAGCAATGAAATTGAAACAGTAATAAAAAAAACTTCCAACGAACAAAAGTCCTGGACAGAATGGCTTCACAGGTGAAATTTACCAAACATTGAAAGAATTAACACCTATCCTCAAACTATTCCAAAAACTCAAAAGGAGAGAAAACTCCCAAGCTCATTTAACAAGGTCATTAACATGATTCCAAAACCAGGCGAAACCGCTACAAAGAGGAAAAATCATAGGACAACATCACTAATGAACATATATACAAAAATCCTTAACAAAATATTAGCAAACCAAATTCAGCAACACATTAAAAGAATTATACACCACAATCAAATGAGACTTATTCCTGGAATGCAACGCCGGTACACTATTCACAAAGTAATTAATACAATACACCATGTAAACAAAACAAAGGATAAAAATCATGATCACATCGATAGATGCCAGAAAAAGCATTTGAGAAAACTAGCATGCATTTATGATAAAAACTCTCAGCAAAGTGGGAATAGAGGAAACATATCTCAACATACTAAAGGCCATATATATGACAAACCCACAGATGGCTGAAATTATACTCAATGAGGAAAAACTAAAAGTATTTTCCCTAAGACCTGAAACAAAACAGGATATCTGCTTTCATTACTCTTATTCAATAAAGTACTGAAAGTTCTAGCCACAGCTATTAGTCAAGAAGAAATAAAAGTTATACAGATCAGAAAGGAAGAAGTAAAACTGCCATTATTTGCGGATGACATGATACTATATATACAGAATCCTAAAGATTCTACCAAGAAATTAGTAGAACTAACAAACTCAGGAGAGTAAGGATACAAAATATACGTTCAGAAATTGGTTGTATTTTTATATACTAATAATTAACTGTCAGAAAGGGAAACTAAGAAAATCCACTTTATAATTACATTAAGAAAATGCATACAAATAAATTTAACCAAGGATATAAAAGACCTGTACCTGGAAAATAAGACACTGAGGAAAGAAACTGAAGAAGATAAAAATAAATGTAAGCATACATCATGCTTATGGGCAGGAAGAATTAACATTGTTACAATGTCCCTACTATACTCAAAGCAATCTATAGATTCAATGCAATCCCTATCAAAATACCAATGGCATTTTTTATAGAACTAAAACAAACAGTCCAAAAATTTATATGGAACCACAAAAGACCTCAAATAACTACAGCAATTTTGAAAAAGAAGAACGAAGTTGGAGGCATCACACTACCTGACATCAAACTAAAGGGCTATAGTAATCAAAACAGCATAAAAACAGACACACAGATCAATGGGACAGAAGAGAGCCTGTATAGTCAATTAATATACAACAAAGGAGGCAAGCATATACAATGGGGTAAAGATAGTCTATTCAAAAATTGGTGTTGGGAAAATTGGATAGAAACATGCAAAAAAAAAATGAAATTAGGTTACCTTCTTACACCATATACCAGAATAAGCTCCAAACAGATTAAAGACCTAAATGTGAAACTGAAAATCATAAAACTCCAAGAAGAAAATACAGGTAGTAAACTCTCTCATATATTTTTCTTAGCAATATTTTGTCTGACATATCTCCTCAACCAAGGGAAACAAAAGAAATAAAATATACAAATGGGACTACATCAAACTAAATACCTTTTGCACGGTAAAGAAAACCATCAACAAAATGAAAAGACAACCTACTGAATGGGAGAGCGTATGTGCCAGTGATACATCCAATAAGGGGTTAATGTCCAAAATTTATAAAGAACTCATTCGACTCAACACCAAACAAACAAAACCCCACAAACAATCCAATTAAAAAATGGACAGAGGACCTAAATAAACACTTCTCCAAAAATGACCTACAGATGGCCAACAGACATATGAAATGATGCTCAACATCACTAATTAGAGAAATGCAAATTAAAACCACAATGAGATATCACCTCCCACCTGTTAGAATGACTATCATCAACAGATCAATAAACAACAAGTGTTGAAAACGATGTGGGGAAGAGGGAACCCTCATACACTATGGTAGAATTGCAAATTGGTGCAGCCATATGAGAAAAAGTATGGAAGTTCCTCAAAAAATTAAAAATGGAATTATCTTATGACCCAGCAATCCCACTTCTGGGTATATATTTGAAGAAACCCAAAACACTAATTCAAAAGAATATATATACCCCTATGTTCACTGCAGCATTATTTACAATAGCCAAGAGATGGAAGCAGCCCAAGTGTCCACCAACAGATGAGTGGATAAAAAAAAGCTACAAGGTACATACAGAAGATGGAGGCATAGGTAGATACGCTTTGCTTCCTCGCACAACCAAAAGAAGAACAACAACAAATTTAAAACCAAAAAATCACCAGGACTGCCAGAAAACTGAACTGTATGGAAGTCTGACAACCAAGGGGTTAAAGAAGAAACATTAATCCAGACTGGTAGGAGGGGCAGAGAAGACACAAGGCAAGGAGACACACAGGGGGTGAGGCAGCGGCAGTGGACCGGCAGTCCCACATTCACATGTGGATAAGACAGGAGGAACAACTAGGGAGTGAGACAGATCATGCAACCCAGGGTTCCAGCACAGGAAAAGAAAGCCTCAAAACCTCTGGCTGTAAATACATATGGGGTTGCAGCAGTGCGAGAAACTCCCAGCTTCACAGAAAA